AGTTACATGGTGTCTAGAATTAGAACCGCATGAAAGCGTGGATTTCACTTGCAGAATTTAAAAGAGTTGTGTTTAATAATCTGTATTATTATTACTAAAATTTTATTATTGTTATCTAAGAAAGGATGAGCAGCGCATAGCTGCATTAGAGCTTAACTCCGGAATTTTCTCCTGTATTTCTGTGTTGTTGTAGAATCTTATTGGGTGTTGGCGGTTGCGAAAATATGTAAGAGGAGTATTAATCAGCTGAAGAGTCGATTACTTGGAAAGAGGTTTTTCAAACGAATGGCGAATGCAAATTCTTCTGATCATCAGGGATAGATGCACATTCTTCTGTCCTTATCATCAGATCAAGAGTCTTTAGCCATTTACCAGCTGCATGTTAGCCTTCAAAACGAATTCTTAAAAAGGATATGGTGGTAAAAAGTAGGTACTATTGCAGTTGTGTCGTGACGATGAGTCGGTCTTGCGAGCATGGGAGGTGCATTATCGCCCCTGTTCTGTGCTCTCGTGCCTGAATGATTTCATGCAAGCGGAGCTTTTGGATGACGAGATTTTATGTAAGCCATGCAACGAAAAATGTCCAACAACAAAGTCCTTGGCAATTTGGCGTTTGCCAAAAATATTGGTACATTTTCGTGTTTTGCCGAAGGGTTATTGAAACTGCTTTTTTTTCAATGCTTTATGCTTTTTTAGTGCTTTTCCCTATTCGCGGCAATTTCCATTTTGCAGATAATACATTTCAAAAGGTTCGTTTGTGTGAAAGAGGAGCGTCGTTGGGTGAAATCGTGCAAAGTTGTGGATTTTCCACTCGAAAATTTGGATCTTCGAGAATGGTTGCGTGATCGTGACACCAAAGTACAGACAAAATACAACTGTTTTGCAATCGCAGTATGTTTTCCCTTTGAAAGTCTTTAGAAAAAGTAGTGAGTGTTGTGTTATAAGGTGAGTGTATATAGCGTTGTCCAATTTCAGAATCACTACGGTGCTATGGCTTCCGGGCACTACGTTGCTTACGCGAAAAACGGCGAGCAGTGGTACAGCTTCAATGACAGTCGATGTCAGGTACTCGTTAGCGCTTCTGTCTAGTTTGTGTTTTGAAATCAGTTAGTGTCACTTTTTATGCGCCTTTAGATATTATATGCCTGTACTTTTTTGGTTTTTGCACGGATATATGTCTTTGTGGTGCTTGTATTTATGTATATTTCACCCCAAAAATAGGAAACCTGGAAAGTTAAAATTTGTGGTCCCAGAGTTCTTGATCGTTCCTGGAACTACCAGTTAGAAGTTATTTTTGTTCTTCCTCTATATCATGTTTTTGATTCGAAGTCGAAAATTATGGTGATTTCCCAACTCAAATAAGCAATGTAACGAACTTGAAATCTTGGTGTTTGATTCGCTACAAAATAAACAGCGTCTAAAATCATTTCCAAATTTTTATGCACCTTCATCTCTGTCTT